CGCAGCCGTTTCTTGAGCAATTTTTAGACCGACACGGGGTGAAATCGTTTTTTTCAAAAAATCCGGATTTTTTACGTAGATCGAAAAACCGACCCCAGTACGTTCATAAACWCATCAAACAGTGTCTACAGACCAAAAATGAAGGACTTTTATTTTTTTGATTGTGGCCACAAATTTTCGATTTTGCTCGATATTTCTGGACAGTCGCTCTTAACACCACTGAATCATGGCAGCTTTGTCCTTTAGCGTATAAGTCGTTTGAGACACAAATAAAATCGAGCAAGAAGGAAGGGTGTGAAAAGGTTCATTCAACCAAGATGGCGGCTATGACGTCATATGCAAACGAAGAATACATGAATATTTTTTTAATTTAGGATACAAAAGTAAGATAGAATACAACAATAATTGTTCTGGTGAACAATACAATACTATAAAAGTAGACCATGCACAGTGTAATTGAACAAATAGCTATTTGAAATATTCTGAAACTATGACCATGACACAGCCAAATGATTTTCCAAATATCCTGATAACCCCATACCACTTCAATCTAAATACTACCATTACTATTCTTAAACTCTAATAACACCTCGAGGTACGGCAAGTTTCCAATGCGTTTGGAACTTTATTACGCGACTGGCATTTAATTTGGTTGGAACTAGGGCTTTGATACCATCCCCCCCCCTTCAAGTAGCCTCCCATTCAAGCTATTCAGAATGAGTTTACACAGGCATAACCAAAGGTTTTTAATCTCGTGGGGATAACTTCGACTGCAGCGTGGTAAAGGTAACTCATAAGATTCATTTTTCATTTACTTTGTTTTTTCTTTGGAATAAATAATGATAGATAAATAATGTTTTATTCCACGTTGGAATAAGTGAATACAATACTTCATATTCTCTTGATGAAATATAATGTACGAAAAATGGCATGTATTTCGCTATTAGCTCTGCGCTCGCGCTTGGCCAGCTATCATTTTCTCGATTAAAATATTTTCACGAGAGCATGTATAGACAAAACTCTTCAGGTTTTAGATATTGAGGTAATACTAGTGCTTCAAATTTAGAACGACGAAAGACATCGCGTACCTTGTGGTATTCGTCATGTCAAGACAAAAACCTAAAAGCTACGCTAGATATTAAATTCAATTGAAAAGGCAGTATCCCCATCTTCTATCTCTGTCAAAATTCGTAGTCGTTGAGCACCATATTCTATTGCTATCGCTTTTCGAACATCGCCAGCTGACGACTCCTTCGTAGACAAATGGAATCACGCAGCAGGAGCCTTCTGGAACGTTCCCTCTCGTTGTTCTTATTTTACTCTTACAGCCTACAAAGAACAAAGTTTTCAGATTACGTCTCATTCCCTTGAACATTAATGTTTCTTTTGTTCAACGGCAACGCTAAAGAAATTAGTTTAACAGTAAACAATAAATATTTTAGTTTGGGCGCAATGTTATTCTATGTCAAACCGTGCGTCATTCCCTAGAGTACCATTTCTTGATTTAACGGTTGCGCATGAGAACATGCATAATTATGGACGCAACTTAAACAAATGATATTATTCTCAAATGAGAAAGCTTCAAGCCCAAACTAAAAAGACCTGTTTAATATTATTCGTTGTTTACTAAGAATGTGCTTACTTACTTGCCGGTCTATTCTTGTCGTTACAACATGATGGATGACAGTTTCTTGTACATCTAACTTGACATTCAGCAGGACACAAAACCTCCGATCGTGCTCTGAGATCCTTCGAATTGGAACTATAAAGTTCTGGTGGTGAGTGTAGCGACAGTTGACTTTTTATAAATTGATTTCTAGGTCTAAATGTATGAGATGAAGATGGAAGCGATGCTTTCCTAGTGTCGAGTTCCTGCCATGACATCATTCTTGTCGCAGGGATCCCAACAAGGGACCCGTGATAGGCAGGGCTTCTTGATCTTGTATGTGGTGATAGTGTCTTTACGCGAGCACTAACGTACGGCTTGTGGTACTGCATTGTTTTTACACCCCGTCCACAACACTGTCTTGGACAAGATTTATAACAGGATAATTCGCAGCCTCGCGGGCAAGGAAGATGGACCGAGTAAGATAAAGTGTGTCTTGGAACACCATTCGTTTGARAACCCATGCAGCAGCGCGGAGGACACGAGGGCAGACAAACTTCTGAACAAATCGACGGACAGTTTGCGGAAGAAAGGTCTCCGGAGATTTTGTCCGTTAACTGAAAGTCTGTGTATTTGGATATTAGAGGGTTTGGTTCTGGATCAGGCGCCAGTTCCTCAGGTTTAACAGTTAGTAAGTCTGTGCAGCATTGTATTGGGCAGCTTGCTACACAGGCATGGGCACACGATGGTGGGCAATCTGGAGGTGCAGAAAGAGATGGAGGAGGAAGTGGTGGTGGTGGGGGTGCTGGAGATGGGGATGGGGGTGCTGGTGGCGGTGGCGGTGGCGGTATGTAAGGGAGAGCCGGTGTTGGCGGCGGTGGTGGCGAAGGAGAAGGAATGGGAGGAGGGGGAGGAAGAAGAGATGGAGGTGAAGGGTAAGAGGGAGGAGGCGGGGCAGGAGTAGGGTAGGAGGGCGAAGGCGGAGGTGGAGGTGGAGGCGGAGGTGGAGGCGGAGGTGGAAGTGGGGGGTAGAAGGGTGGAGGTGGTTGAGGCGGAAGCGAAGCCGGGGTCGGGGTAGGAGCAGGTGTAAGAGGAAGTATAGCCTTTGGCAACTGGATTTTGATATCTGTGCAACATTGTACAGGACACATAGGAAGACATGTGATGGCACAGGATGGAGGACAAGGCTTGTTATTTGGCAA